AATTCTGGAAATGCTTGCTACTTCTCAGTTCAAAATATTTTGTCTTCCCGTCTGATTTCTAAGAACCTGAAAATTAAAGTATACAAAACAATAATCTTGCCTGTTGTGTTGTATGGGTGCGAAACATGGTCTCTCACCCAGAGGGAGGAACACAGATCGCAGGTGTTTGAGAACAGGGTGTTGAGGAGGATATTTGGGCCTAAGAGGGAAGACGATGGGGCATGGAGAAAACTGCATAATGATGAATGAGATAGGCGGGGCGGGGCATGTAGCGCGCATGGATGAGACAAGAGGTGTGCACCGGGTACTGGTTGGGACACCTGAAGAGAAGAGACTGCTGGGGAGACCTAGACGTAGATGGGAGGATAATCTCAGGCGGGATCTATGGGAGATAGGAGTCGAAGGAGACTGGATTTTGTTGGCCCAGGACAGGGTCCGGTGGAGGGCTTTGGTTAATTCGGTGATGAACCTTCGAGTTCGGTAAACCATAGAGTTAGTTAGTTAGTTATGGATTTAACGTAAACGCAAGACGCTGAACATTGACTTCCATCTAACGCCGAAGTCGAGTTTTGCCTCTGCGATGCAAAGACGACGTTCTTAGTTAAACACGGATACACAGTCTATTTTCGACGAAGTGCTTTGTTAAGTACGTCTGTAAGGCGTGGTACTTAATTAAGCACAATACACAACTTCTAGGCCCGTCTACGTGAGATCCCGCGTTCAAATCTCAAACCGGAGACAGACAATCCTGAGTTCTTTTGTGGTTTACATCAGTCCCTCCTGGCAGATGCCAGGGCAGTACCTTGAATTTGGCCACGACACTTCCGTCCAAATCCCTCCCAGTTCACTATTCACTGATTCTACGCTGCATAGTCTGGGCTACTGTCAGACTACCGAAACCACAGGACACGAACATGATAATTTAATAGTATCTTAAGTAACAAGGCCCGTTTTCTCATTCACATCAGCTGCAGAGATCTGTAGAAATTCCTCCTCCGTGACGAAACTCAGACGGTTAACCGCAGGACTCCCGCTACGAAATCGGGTCCAGTTTGCGGTGGACAGAGTGGAACGTGGACATCCTTTTGCGATTACGTAAACTACCATTCCACCCATGTCCCATACCAGGACACCAGAAACACTAATTAAATCTAATCATCATTATCAGCAGCAGCATCCATCTGAGGCCGAGTACTTAAAGACTTTATCCATTGCAGCCTTGGCACTGTGCGACTGGTCCGACCTGCAGAAGACCCGGAGGAACATCGCCCGCTTGTATTGCTCCCCACGCTTTGCTTCCGTGCATTACGACAACCTGGACCACGTGGGCTGTGCCGAGGTGGTCGAGTTCCTGGCCGAACTGTCACGTGTCACGAAGGAGACACGAGAATACAAGGTCAAACCGCTGATCCAGGCAGCCTGCTTCAACATGTTCTCTCAGTACATGTGCAGCACCCGCTTTGCCTACGACAACACCGCCTGCGCCAAAGTGGTCCGCACTTTTGATGATATCTTCTGGGAGCTCAACCAAGGTTATGCCGTCGACTTCATGCCTTGGCTGTCGCCTGTTTACAAAAACCACATGCGTCTCATCTGCACATGGTCACAAACAGTGCGTCAGTTTATTCTGTCCCACATCGTGGACCGACAACGGCTCGCACTGGACACTTCCGAAGAGCCGAGGGACTTCACAGATGCTCTCCTCATGCACCTCCAAGAAGATCCAAATCTGAGTTGGGAACACATTATCTTCGAACTGGAAGACTTCTTGGGAGGCCACTCTGCTGTAGGAAACCTCGCCATGCTGACACTGGCAGCCGTGGTACGTCACCCTGAGGTCGCCAAGAATGTTCAGAAGGAAGTGGACGCAGCCACAGGAGGGTCGCGTAACGTAAACTTGTTTGACAAGACAGTAATGCCCTACACAGAAGCCACTATCCTAGAGGTCCTGAGGACTTGCTCGTCACCCATCGTGCCACACGTAGCGACGCAGGACACAACCATTGCAGGTACATATTAATTGTTCAGTACACCCACTCTCTCGCAGGTAACCCATAATTTTCAAGGTCCGTGTTGTATTTAAATTGTTGGCTGCATTTAAAAAAATAAAATATTAAACTTGATGTCATTCTTTAGTTTAGTCATGTTAACTTCCGAATATTATACGGACAATTCTGGAGCTTGGTGCCTGGGATCTGTCCTTTACGATGACGCATACAGAAATTGTTTTCTTTAAATCAGAGTTTGACAACCTGTGGTCCATGTAACATATTCTGGTCCCCAAATTCAAGATGGCGTTATCTTGCGTTGATATAAATATTTCAAGAGCTAGGGAAACAATAATACAGTGCTAGCAGTCTTTTTTCATTACCTTTCAGCGACTTCGATTAAATATTTGGGAACAACGGTAAAAAAAAAGCCATTCGCGAGGAAATCACGAGTATAATAAATTGGGACAATGTTTGTACGCATCTAATTTGAGAACTTTTGCCTTCTTGCCTAAAGTCTAGAACCGTAAAAATTAAAAAAATAGCCCACAAAACTAAACTTTTACATGAAATCTCACATATAATTTTATCTGTATGGTATAAAAATTTGGTCTTTGTCGCCCTAAGGGAATGATAGTCTGAGCGTGTTTCGACGGAAACTTTTTTAAAACTAATAGTTCTTTAATCTGCACACACACCTTTAAATTGCGTATTTAGTTTATATGCACGTGTAGTTAATTATGATTACGTATCTTCTATTTTAATAGAACACAGAGGCGTCATAATAGAAGTAAAAGTTTTAAAAAAGGCAATAGGAATTGAATTTGTGCCACGCAATGGGAGACTGGCAGCGTACTTGTCCTAGGAAATCCATGAATATCTGCCTGACAGAGGGTAAATGTAAAAAGTTAAAAATAAGATACCCTCCCGTCATTCTACACGCATTTCAACTGAACCTTGGTCAAAAGTTGCGTCCGACTGTTTCAGGATACCCTGTGGCGAAAGATACTATGATTTTCATCAACAATTACAATCTCAACCACAGCGAGAAATACTGGGAAGCTCCCAACGAGTTCCGTCCTGAGAGGTTCATCGCGAGTGGCAAAGTAAGCAAGCCCGAGTACTTCATCCCGTTCAGCACCGGCAAACGCACCTGCATCGGACAACGGCTAGCGCAAGGATTCACCTTCATACTAATTTCCTCCATCCTGCAGTACTATGACGTCACTTCTTCAAACGTGGCGTCCATTCGCACATATCCGGCCTGCGTTGCAGTACCCATGGACACATTTTCGCTAATTTTCACGCCCAGAAATTCTGCGTTTGTGCAATCCATTTAGTGTAGTCTCTCTGACCTTGTAAGTTCATGCCAAACATGTAGGTGGGCCTACATACATCGTCGTCATAAATAAATGCCATATCTCGTATACGGACTCTCTGCAATACATACCAAGCAATTTTGGGTTCACTTAGGGGAACAAATCAGCAACAAAGAAAATTCTTGATCGAAGGAATTTGTAGCCGGTCCCCGTTACGTGGTCTTGATCCTTGAGTTCGAGCCGCGACGATTGCTTACAAGTAGGCAACTTTACGGCGAGAACTTCCTAGTAAGCGAGCCAGGTGAAAAGTGGAACGGTCTAGCGTTGCCATGGCAACTACAGTGCGCATGCGTCAAAGTCATAATTCTTCCCAAGTGTCGGCTTGTTCTCAGGCTCTAGAATCTAGGTTGGCGTTAATATACTTGTTACTGTTGCAAACGACCTCAGAAAGACAGTCGAAGCTTCAGACTATTAGTCTATATGGCTGTGATTCATCGGAGAATAGCAAATGAGTCTTTTTTCCCCGAGTTAAAAGGTAATTTCATTTGACTACATTTTCATTGCAGTTAAAATATCGTGGTACTTTCATTTGCAAACAAACGAAGGTTCTTATCTCAGCAAGCAAAATGTATGTCAAATGCAATAAGGGTAATGAAATTCAAACACTTTGAATGGTTCAGCGATACAGAATCTGTACTAAATCATTTTGTTTTATATAGAAAACTGTGAAAAGTCGAATCGTGTAGAAATGAATTGGAACGTACGTACTGAGGCATTCTGTATATTGGTTCGCGAAGTCCGAAGCAAGTCACTAATTATTTAATTGTACCTTGTACTGCTGAGCAATTCAGCCGTGAATGTGTGCAGCTAAGTGTAAGAGCACACTTCATCAAGGACGGCTTTCGCAATCCACTCTGCGGTGGCAGAACCCAAACGTTCAACACCGCTAATACCAAAGCACACCATTAAGCACGATCTTGGAGCCAGTTCGACCTACTTCCCCATGCTCACAGCCAAATTAATCACCGAGGTGACCGATTTCAATTACGTTTTCCCACCAAAATTCAGAATTTTCACGCCATCGACAAGTCCAGCCCATGAAAACAATCTTATTTCAATATTCCAACAACATTACGTCGCCCCGTCATTCATAACCCTTTATGGATCGGTGCTAGGCGCAGGAATGGGTTTATGTTCCAATTTATTCCCCAGTTTTTAAATTAACACTATGGAGCAGCTAGTCAAGAAATTGCCCGCATTTTACAGAACCCACAGCTTCATTACCGTGTTCATAAGAGCCCACCGCCGTCCCCTATCCTGTGCCACGTACATCTAATCCACACTCTCCAACACTTTCCCTAGGATCCATTTTAATATTATCCTTCCAGCTACGCTTAGGTGTTCCCGGTGATATTTCCCCCTCGAGGCTTTTCAACGAAAACTTTGATGCATTTCTATCTTCGACATGCCCCCTATATGCCCCGCCCACATCATATTCCATCATCCGATCATCCTGATAATATATTTGGTGAAGAGTACAAGTCACGGAGCTCCACGTTATGCAGCTTCGATCCTCTTATGTTCAAATACTCTCCTAAGCCCCCTCTACTCAAAAACAACCTGGGATATTCCTTGACGTGAGAGGCTAAGTTTCACATCTGTAAAAACTGGCATTCACATTCTAAAATTAATATTAACAGTTTAACATAGCAGAAAACTGCAAACTGACTATAATTTTGTGCAAAAATGAGCACGTACGACTGAAACTTGTAAAATTAAGCATCGCAGAAATCGCACGTGACGTTGCTGTGAAGGCAAGAGCTGTCACAAAATGGACACGTGAAATTTTAGAGCGAAATTTAAACACGTGTTTTACGGGATCGTCATCTTCTTTACCTGAAGGACAATTTTTCAGATTTTAAGGCGTCCGTATGCCAGAATTTAGTTAAAAGAAAAGATTTTTATAAGAGATCGACCTTTTTTTATCTCTAGGTGGTTTAACGGATGACTTAAATACGTAACTTGCGTAGTGCCGAGCTGTCAATAATGAAACTGACGGCCGTGGCCAACTTGATGTGTTACTCGGCATTTCCTTGAAATGACCTCGGAAAACCACGTATAAGCTGTCAGAATGGCAGGTACTTTGATCGACATTTGAATCCGGTACTTACAGAATACGAAGCAGGAATGCTAACCACTGAACAGCGAAGTTTGTTACTTAAATTACTGATTTCTAAGTTTTCGTAGAAACGTGGTCTTCGCCAACTCTTATCTTCACTCACAGATGTTAAATTCTATATAGGCTCTAGAGCTGTCATTTAGTCGTGGCTTATTTTACAACACTGTGACAACAGCCAAAGGTTTATTAATCTTCACACCGAGTACAAGAATGCAATGATAGGCAGCCTATGGGGAAATTTGGTAGCGGCATTCTTCTACGCTTAGGTGTTCCCGGTGATATTTCCCCCTCGAGGCTTTTCAACGAAAACTTTGATGCATTTCTATCTTCGACATGCCCCCTATATGCCCCGCCCACATCATATTCCATCATCCGATCATCCTGATAATATATTTGGTGAAGAGTACAAGTCACGGAGCTCCACGTTATGCAGCTTCGATCCTCTTATGTTCAAATACTCTCCTAAGCCCCCTCTACTCAAAAACAACCTGGGATATTCCTTGACGTGAGAGGCTAAGTTTCACATCTGTAAAAACTGGCATTCACATTCTAAAATTAATATTAACAGTTTAACATAGCAGAAAACTGCAAACTGACTATAATTTTGTGCAAAAATGAGCACGTACGACTGAAACTTGTAAAATTAAGCATCGCAGAAATCGCACGTGACGTTGCTGTGAAGGCAAGAGCTGTCACAAAATGGACACGTGAAATTTTAGAGCGAAATTTAAACACGTGTTTTACGGGATCGTCATCTTCTTTACCTGAAGGACAATTTTTCAGATTTTAAGGCGTCCGTATGCCAGAATTTAGTTAAAAGAAAAGATTTTTATAAGAGATCGACCTTTTTTTATCTCTAGGTGGTTTAACGGATGACTTAAATACGTAACTTGCGTAGTGCCGAGCTGTCAATAATGAAACTGACGGCCGTGGCCAACTTGATGTGTTACTCGGCATTTCCTTGAAATGACCTCGGAAAACCACGTATAAGCTGTCAGAATGGCAGGTACTTTGATCGACATTTGAATCCGGTACTTACAGAATACGAAGCAG